ATTCAAGCGAAGTGTTTACGACGATATCATTTTAAATAACATTTTCTATGAGTTTCATTCTTAAGGTATAACCCGTTTCAAAATCTTTCAAAAATACACAAAAATTAATAAAACTTATTGGAGTTTTATTTTAGTAATTTCTATACAAATGTAGTTGAATGCTCACAAATGCATTACAAATGCATCAGTTTCACGATTATAGTTTAACAATCATTTATTTTAATAAACATTTCAGTAATTTTTATAACTTTTATGAATATTCATAACTTATGAAAAATAAATACATCTTTATTATAAATAATAATCCAGATTCAAGTGAATTATTTCTATGCAATTGCTTTTTAAATCTGAGAGTTGATCGCAATGTGTGTTGAGTGATAGGATTGGCACTAATTGTTACGGTTAGCCCATCTCCACATCGATGAGAAGGTCGATATCACACCACTTGCTATACTTGTTTGCTATACAACAACACATACTCACAATGAAAACATTGATTTAAATGACATGACATGACATACCTGTGCGTCAATATTGAGCTGAAGATCAGGCAAATTGTTTTCGACCCAATCGTATTCAATGATTAGGTTCTCGTCATTTTGATCGTTAGCGTTGTCGTCAAGTTCTGATTCATCGATTAAATACAAGTCCTCCAAAAGACAACTTTCAATCGTATCGTAAAAGTCAGGCGTCATTACAATGGGACCATTCCTGCGATATAACAGTGTTTTAGTTAATCTTAACAATTAATAGCAATTCATTAGTGGCCATCAATTATATGGCTGTCAACAGGTAAGCACATATACTGTACTGTGCGGTCAATTATTACACATGTAGACAACTTTCTCTTTATTAAGTGGAGTCATATTAAGATTTACATACTACTCATACGTGTATTGTACCGTACATTTAACCCATTTCAATGTATAGTCAATTAAACGTAAACATTGCCTTAAGGCCATTGACCAGTCTATATGGCTAAAGCATACCGTACTGCATAACTATAACAGTATATCTAACTGTAAACAGATGAGAGACAGACAGCCATATAAGACATGAACACCAGTGAGACATCAAATAGAAGACCTGATGCCTAAGCCATGCGATGAGTTCAACAAATGGAGAAGATTTTGGACGGTTTGTCGCGGATTCAAGAGCTCTGAGTCGATGTTTTGTGAGAGACATAAATAGTATACAAGTCCTCCAAAAGACAACTTTCAATCGTATCGTAAAAGTCAGGCGTCATTACAATGGGACCATTCCTGCGATATAACAGTGTTTTAGTTAATCTTAACAATTAATAGCAATTCATTAGTGGCTATCAATTATATGGCTGTCAACAGGTAAGCACATATACTGTAGTGTACTGTAGTGTACTGTGCGGTCAATTATTACAAATGTAGAAAACTTTCTCTTTATTAAGTGGAGTCATATTAAGATTGTACGGCATACTACTCATTTAACCCATTTCAATGTACAGTCAATTAAACCTAAACATTGACTTAAGGTCATTGACCAGTCTATATGACTAAAGCATACCGTGCTGTATAACTATAACAGTATATCTAACTGTAAACAGATGAGAGACAGACAGCCATATAAGACATGAACACTAGTGAGACATCAAATAGAAGACCTGATGCCTAAGCCATGCGATGAGTTCAACAAATGGAGAAGATTTTGGACGGTTTGTCGCGGATTCAAGAGCTCTGAGTCGATGTTTTGTGAGAGACATAAATAGACAATATTTGCGTTCAGTTTCGCCACTTTGTGTGTGAACTGAGTTTCATTCAAATCGCTTATAAAGAATTCACTGAAATATGCAAACATTGAAATCAATATTGAGATCATTAGCGGACAAGTGCTGACCTGTAAAGCAGTCGCTTAGGAAGTCTTATATCCAAATAGAAGGCAATTATATTGACGAGTTGTGTGATGTATGCCAGCGCTGCACACGTCCTATACTTTGCATTTCTGAAACTGGAGTCTCTATTCAGATAATCCCTTTCATTAGTCGCTGAAAATATAGATATAAAAGTCATTTAACCACAAAATGTTTGCAATAATTAGCAACCAATGAATTACCGAACAAAGCGTATGCAGAATAATCTCCATTTCCACAAATCCATGGCTCGACTATACTATAGTTGATTGGAGTGTTCAATGGAGAGATGGTTTCGAGCAGAGGAGTAGTCTCTGAGTTGAGTATTGAGTGGCGATCACTGGTGTCGGGGATCATGTCTTTGGTTTCGATGGGAAAGATATATGTCGTCAACTGTTTGACCCTTTGCTGAACCAATTCCTTGATGTAAGAGTCGTAACTGTCTTTGGACTCCACGAGTCTTGTGATACCGTTTTGGCGACGACTGAGGAACTGCTTGGCGTCCATCACTTTGGCCTCAAGTTTGTGGTGACGCTCTTTGCACTCCTCTTGATTGCATCGAGTCTTCCGCAGATGACTCTCACTCGAAGACAACTTCTGTCTGGCTTTGGACAGATTGCTCCTCAAGTGGTCGACATTGGCCTCCAAGAGTCGGATCTTATACTCCTATCAGACAATTAGTAAGCAAAACATGGTATGAGTTGTGGTGTGGAATGATATCTCAAGACAATGCCTACCAATTCGTCTTTGATGACCAACTCATTCATGTGGTGATCCATGCGATCACTGATCAACTGTTGTTCACATTTCAATCGGAAGTATTTGAGCTTTTTTTCAGCAAATCTTTCGGGAATTCGTATCTTAGAGTCTGTGAAGTCTCCGTTTCGGACACAATCGCTGCAGAAGAATATGCTTTTATCACATCTACAGACACGACACTGTAATAGATATTTGCGTCCATTTGTGGTCGTATTACCACTTCTGCACTCATTTTCATCGAGTAATTGCTTTAAGCCATCATTGAGTGGTTTGTCTGAGAAATGACTTTCGACTAAATGGTGGCCAATATTGAAGTCTTGCGGAGGTTTTGACGATTCGTTTGAATCACTCATTGTATGTCTTGAGAGAGATATCAATGCATTTCACTTCAATCAGTCCATCAGTTGTTGACATTCACTGCAATCAGTGAGTGCTTTGTTGGTGGGGGCCGTCACTCATACGTACAACACCTGCACTGCCATTGCATTCATGATCACTACCAATACTATGACACAATCAACATATTAGACCCATTGCACATACATTCAGATATATAACGATTAAATGAACTGGTTCATTGATGCAAACATTCAAATATACATTGTCATTGGATTAACTTCATACGATCTAGCTACAATTCAATACTTGCTACTGTTGTTCATGTTTTGTGAATGACTCTCTGATGTACAGTAAATACGACTCATTGAGTGTATTATGGATTTGTTTACAGTTATATAATACAAAACTAACCATTCATTGGACTCTGATTTACGAGTTATTTATAAATTGAATGCATAAGTGATGCAAACTTTATGACCAATCATATGATTGTTGTGTTAATCGG